GAGGGAATTATAAAACAATTGAACATCAAAAATATTCCAATCAAAGTGTGGAATGCCAGTGGTAAAACTTACGTCAGGGTGGGGGCAGGAATGCTGTCAATAAAATGTGCTGATGAGTGGGATTGTGGTATCGCACCAAAGGATCGACTGCCCAAATTTAAAAAGTTTATCCGTTCTCTCTTTCGCTAAGGTTAGTGCTGAATTCTTGCATCTCTTCATTTAATTGTGTTCTCTCCAAGTCTGATCACAAGTTGTCCACCACTTTAGCAAGACAGTATCAGGCACTGAAGATGTTAGTAGTGTAATTTTTGTGCCACTTTCTCCTCTTTGTGCCAGTTTGTTCGCTTGGCAGGGGAACAACCCGTAGACTCCAGTGCAACTTTGCCTGTCTTTAAAACTGTCACTAAAAAAGGCAAATAACATATATGTTGCTCTCATTTAATTCAATTCACTTAAATTTTATTTGTATAGTGCATTTTCACAACATTACATCAAGGAAAGAACCTTGGGAGGAACCAGACTCAAAGGGGGAGCCCAACCTCCAGGGGCCAGCAGAAGAAGTCAAATTTAACAAAATTTAAACAATAATATTATATTATATCCTTAGATGTAACTTCTGGGAATTCTGTCTTCAAGGGGCCCCTAATTTTCGGGGGTCCCAGGTGCCTACCTACCTTGCCTTATGGTAAAGTCCACTGCTGTCCAAAACACTCACTAACTCAAACATCCAAATTGCACGCTATGTCTATCATCCCAGACCCCATATGTCCAAAGCACACTACCTTAAACATTCCATCTCTCATACGTTTCTATTTAGATGATAGCCACGACTTGCAGAGATACTGTACCAGAGAGCATTGTTCATGTTTGAGCTGCCGTGGTTTGATTAAACCACAACCCCCCCTAGTGCCCACAGTAAGGTAAGGAGGGTTGACGGGTTTCACTTCAGCATCCCTTCTGCTCTCTTCCCACTCATGGTGACCCCCGCAGTAAGGGAAGGCTGGCCGGAGGAGCTGTCCCATGCCGGCCGCCCCGCCTGGCTGTCATCACTCCTTAGGGACAACTGCTTCACTTGCGCTGTTGGCCTCGGGTACAAAGACTCGCCATGGTGGCCAGACGCCCAACTACGGATCTGTCTAAAATATTCATCACCGACTTGACAAAAAGATGAAAAATAAATGAAATCCTTTTTTCATGGTCTTCCAGGTTGTTTCATAAAAATTACATGAGAACTTCTTTCCATCTCTAAGCGACACCCCTCTCTACCACAGGCGGCAAGACCACAACGCTGCAAGGACGAGAACTGGCCGGAGATTCACAGAGGACAGACTTCAAAAAGACTCCAGGCCGGAGAGGGGCTTGGCACAAAGGCAGAAGGAGAATCTCTGTCCTAGCTCCCTGGAAACTGAGGCCCTCTTGTGGCTGATGTTAAGAAGGCTCATCTGGAGAAGTAGAGCAAGAAGGATGAGGCCACAAATAGACCAGGTCATGGTCTGTCCAGAGTGCTGTTGTACTATTTTTCATCTTTACTGTAGTTAATGCTAAGTAACACATAATATTTACCTATTAAACGTTTTCGAGTAAAAACCAAAAATCCCATGTGGCCAGGACTTCACCAGAAATGTCTTTTCATAACATGCCTGCTGTTGTATAATGTGAATGCAATGGAGGTGTTCCAATCTTTTAACAGTGTTCTGACTCAGCTTATTGACTTCCTCACTGGTCTCAGGACTACCTATTACTTTGTGCTTTGAGTTTAGAACTTACACAACACCAGCTTGAGGAGAGTGGGACCAATGATAGGCCATGGATAGGTGGCACATGTCAAATTCCTTGTGCTCTAAACGGAGACCCAAGCAGTGGTTTGCAGTGTGAACTACTGAAGTCATTTGTACAATAGACTGTAATGAGTGCTACACTGACATCTAGAGGTGCTTACTGTTTGTGCACAGAGTCAGGAATTGTAACAATGTTCCAAGTTAACCTGCTGTGTTGTTGTATTTGAAATTACATAAGAGAAAACCACAATTTGGTTAAATCAGCATCAACATTAGTTATTAGACAATATGAGTACCAGCCACATGAGTGAAGTCTTCATTCATTACTTTGCTCAGTTTTTCTGTGATAGCTTCTACAAATAAACCAAGCAAACAAAGGATTACAACTTAGGTTTTAAGTTATGGTTCTTTGTTTGGCTGAGGAAGTAGCAGCCATTACCTTCACAGTAAGCATTCCATACTGACATATGACTTCTGACAGTACTGAGATTAAAGCTTTGGCCACATTTCCCAACTCTGTGCCCGGTGGCAGTGTCCAGATATGACCGCTGTGGTTGAATAATGGCTTAAGTATGTGGGACTGTACAGAACAGGACAAGCTGCGCATTGCTCAACTTCCCCTCCAGGATGAAGACATTTACTCCAAAGCACTGAGAGACTGCTCCAGTAAGCTAGTAGATCTCAGTTGCTGGAAAGTATTGTTAAAATAAAAGAAGCCTTTTCGTGACTGTTCTGATATCAACAATACTCGTTGTGAAAAGGAGCAAGAAGTGAAGTTCATTCCCTTCTTTGGCTAAATGATCTATTTCAGGGGTAAAGGGAAGAAGGCAGCCAAAGTCAGCCGTGTCCCAGAGGCAAAGTGAGGATCTTGCCTAATTTCCTTTCTGCTACCAGGACAAGAGGGCACTGGTAGTGTAACTCCACAACGGAAATTAGGCAATATTTAACTAACCAGGGATACAACTCAGCAAGAGATCTGTTTTACTGAGATGGCGACAGAATTACACAGGCATAAAACAGCTAATTACCATTGTCATTTCATCACATGCATGGAAATGTACAAAAATCAATCAAAGAAAATTCCTAGTTACAAGTGCTAGACAGATTTTCTTTGCTACCTAAACTTATATACAAAATTTGGGATGTATTTTCTCGTACGTTTCTCAGTACTTTTCACTATCATATATAACATATTCTACTTTCTCCTCGTGTTTTATCCTCATGCCTTTCTGCACATGTGTATCCCTTGAACGAATCAAGCACAAGAACAATTTATATTGTAGGCCAATCGCAGTACATTTAGAAGCAACAGGGTGAAAACAACAGTAACATCATCCTTTGTCATCTATTTGCTAAAGAATGTGCCTTGCAAAAGTATTCACACCCCTGAATGACGGTCTGCTTTTATTGAATTACAAGTGTTATGTTGAAATTCTGTGATATTTCAAACACAAAATTATTTTAATTTGACATTGCTTTACAGTACAAAATAATTTAAATAGAAAACTATAAATAAATAATTAATAGTTTTAACATAGGAGTTATTTAATGTTAATACTCTGCAGAGCAACCTGTTTCTTACCCAATAACAGTTTTAAATATTTTGGGGTAATTATTTACCAGCTTTGCACACTGTTCTGGAGTTATTTTCATGGAACTAGGATTGCTCCAGGTGGTGTGTGTGGGTCTTTGGGGTAACCTTTAGGGCAGCTGTTCAAAGCCAGGTGTGAGGACTCTTCAGCCAATCTGTCCTCTAATTAGTAATTTCATAACAGTTGCAGCAAAAACCTGCAGACACAACGGCCCTTTCTGGATAAGATCCACAGGTTTGGATGCCGTGCCTGCAATTGGCTGGTGGCTGGCTGAAATTCCAGAGTTGGCAGCGATTTCACTGTTGGCCCTTAACCCCAATTGCTCCAGAGACTGGGTGAAGCTGTACAGTATGTTATGTTGCATAAAAGTGTCTCTTAAATAAATATAATCTAAAACTTCAGTAGAGGTGTTGCTACTGTTAAATTTGCACCTCACATTTGAATTTTGGCAAAAAAACTCCCTCATTCTCATCTGACCACATAATCTTTCCTCATATTGCAACTGGATCACTATGATTCTTTTTTGGCAAATTCCACATGTTTTCACGTGGCTTCTCGTGTGCCACCTTCCCATACAGGCCAGTGTTATGCAGACTTCTTAATATGGTTATTTCATCACTTTAACTGTGGGGTATTTATTCAGAAAATGTTAAAGTTTAATGATTCTCTAGTAGAAACCCAATTTAAAGCAATTGTGTCCTACGGCAGCTGTTTGTCACCTGTGTAAAATTAGAGCTTTCACAAGACAAGGGCTGAATAGTAATGCATCGTTCCATTTACCTTGGAGGTCGGAACTGGGAATGACGTCACAGACAAGTTAACCACGTTCCAACAGTCGGAAAGCCATTTAGCAATTCCAGGGCCCTGTTTCAAAAAGCAAAGTCTGTTGCTTAGCTGGATAACTTGTCAGATTTCATATACCCAGTTTAAATGAGAACTTTTGTTCATTTACATTCAGCCCAGAGTACCTTAATGACTGATTTTAAGACGTAAGTGCTAAGAAACAGTATAAAACTACAGCTTTAACTTCGGTTGCTAAAGGGTGTAGCCGTCTTGGATTCTGAGGTCGGGTTGCAGAGGTTCCTCCGATTTCATCAGTCAGAGTTCCGACTTCAGGGGGCATCCCAGCTGAAATTTCAAATTAGGAACTTGGAATTTCCCAGTTATGAGTTCAAATGGAACGCAGCATTATACAAACAGCACACATATACGTTTTTTATTTTTTTTTTAAACAAGCCCACTATAAAATGAACCTTGAGTTGCAGTGCTTGAATTAAATCAGAGAACTCAATTTTCAAGAAAGGATCTATAATTCAGTAAAATTAAAGAACAGGTTTGAACACATTTGTAAAGTGCTGTATGTTGGGGAAAGAAGCTATGTTATCTCTCACTTGGTTTGTGGGGAATACCCAGCGTATACAGTGTTCCGTAACACAGGGCCTGCCATCGTCCACCCTTGAATAACTCCTAAATAGGTTATGCAAATACACGGGACAGTTCTGCTATTCACACATCCTAGATTAGGCGTAGGAACCCTGCTCCCTGCTGTGTGGTTTGTGTTGGCCATGAATGGATGGAAATACACAGGTTGTCCTCACTTCATCACATCCAATGCTTTAGCACATAAACAGAATATAGTTTCAGACGTTCATCTTTATTACGTTTCATTGAAAATCCTAGATACAAAAATCCATTTTCAAGAACATACTTCCATGCATTTTCAAGCTTAATAACAATGAGAACTGTGCAAAACTCATTTATAGTTTGCATAGACTTTGCAATTTATATTTGCAAAAGTTCCTGTACCATTCAAGATTTTGAAAATGACATAGTCTTTGGAATGATTTAAAATGTTACATCACCAAAATTATACTTGTGTACATACATTATAATAACAGAGGGCTTGGTGAAGGCAGGACATCAGAAATCTGCCTGAATGTCCGGATCAGCGGCCACAGCCGAAGGTCCTGTTCCACTCCTCGTAGAGCTCCAAGTCTTTGGAGGACACACTGGGTCGCACAGTCTTCAGGGCATCCTGGAAATCGGTATGAACAATGGGACGCACTTGATCAGGTGTGATACTGGCAATGTCATCTACCTGGATGCTGCGAATAGGGCCCAGCGCTGCCTCTCTGCAAAGCTGGGTCATATCAGCACCGGAGAACCCTTGGGAGCTGGAAACAACACAATCCAGCTCCTCTGACTTTAAATGGCATTTCTCACGGGCCATCAGGTTGGCTACGATTTGGCGACGAGCTGCGGCCTCAGGCAGGGGGATGTACAGGCGCTTAGCTAGCCTTCGCCGGGCTGCCTCATCAATCTCCTGTGGTCGGTTGGTGGCCCCGACCACCAGGATCCGGTCATCAGCTGAGGTGGCTGCCCCATCCAGCTGGACCAAAAACTCAGTCTTGATGCGTCGTGAAGAGTCATGCTCACCATCTGTCCGTTGGGAAAGCAGTGAGTCAATTTCATCAATGAAGATAACGGCTGGCTGGTGGCAGCGGGCAATTGCGAAAAGGGCCCGGACCATCTTCTCACCTTCTCCAACCCACTTAGAAGTCAGGGATGAGGCACTAATACTGAAGAAGGTGGCCCCAGACTGACATGCAATGCATTTGCCTATCAGTGTCTTTCCGGTACCAGGAGGGCCAAAAAGCAGGATTCCTTTGGGGGGACCGCGAAGCCCAGTGAAGATGTCGGGTCGCAGCATGGGCCACACTACAATCTCCTTGATTGTGGCCTTTGCAAACTCCAGTCCAGCAATGTCATCCCAAGAGATTGGTGGGCCATGATCCATGATCTCACTCATGATCAGCTCAATGATCTTGGGTTCAAAGTTCTTTAGCCGTTCATCAATAGGCTGAGACTCCTGGACTGACCCACTGGCACCTGCCCCCTCACCATCCTCTTGCCTGGGCATAGGGGACACGAATTTGGAGAAGGCACCACGGGATCTGTTGGCACCCAGGGACTTCTTCATCCCACCAGATAGCCCAGCTGGCTGGACTCGCTGTGGTTGCTGACCGTGTTTCTTCTGCTGCTCCACTACCAGCTGCTCTTTGGCTGTCCTGAAGCTGCTGGCTCGTCCATCATCCCCTCTCTTTCCTGCAACACTGGAGCCACCACGTGTTTCAGAAGCCACATGGCAAGACTGAGAGTTATTGCAGGCCTTCCGCTTCGAAGGGTTTGAGGGGAAGAAAACGGACAGATTGCTAGGGGCAGGCTGACAGTTCATGTTAGCACTGCTGCTAAATAGCGGGTTCATAGTGGGTTGAGCTGTGCTGCAAGATCCAAAGGAAGAAGATGGAAGCAATGCTCGATGGCCACTCTCTTTTCCTGCCCCATCTCTCAGAACATTACTGCAAGCCCCAGTAGCCTCGGTTTTTGAAAACACATCCGCACTGCAGGTTCCCAGCTTCAGAGAGCAGCCTTGATCACTCTCACCATTAAACCCCCCACCAACTACAACATCCACATCTTCTCGTGGTATGAGGGCACTCACAGCCCCAGTTTCACCACGGACAATGTGCTGCACACAGGGCAAAGCCAGGACACTTTCTGGTGTCAAGGCCGACTGCCACTGTATGCTGTCGTTTCTGTGTCCACGAGCCAGGTGCAGTACACTGTTGGCATAGTTGTTCAGGCCTGTGCGTGGGTCATCGGAGTCCAGCACTGCGGAGTAGAGCTCAGTGTATTTCCTGAGTAGATGGGCTGTAGCTGAAGCTGACAGCAGAGAAGTCGCCCATGCATACTGCACGTCCAGGATGTGTGCACGGTAAGCATCTGCCTTTTGTTCAGGTGTGCAGGTGCCAGATGAAATGTCAAAGGTCCTCTTCTGCCACTCGCTCAGGTGTGCCTCACTCATGTCTAAGCCTGTGAGGGACAGCAGCAGTGTGTTAAAATAAGACATCAGGTGGTGGGAGGGGCAGAGCGAAATGCAAACCGCAGGAGTGCTAAAGCAGCTGGCGCAGCCTCACTGGGGCTGACAGAAACAGGGAGCCCCACGAAGGGTCAGTGGGCTCCTTCCTGGATATGGGTACATCCTTTACTTAGCAGGCAAACTGGTCTCACTCAGTGTCCATTTTTTTATTTTTATTTTTCATACTAAGGCTATAAAAAAATCATATTATGTCTCTTAAATATATTTCACAAAGACCTCTGTAAGAGTTTGAAAAAGAAAAAAAAAATCTTGTCCCATTATAAGAAGGTTACGTCACTAGGCTAAAGATAAGCTGTTTAACATTTTACAGAGTTAACAGGAAAATAACTGAGCAACCACAGTACGAACAGGACATAATGCAAAAACATTCCACTTATGAAAACCATAAGCACAGGCATTCGTATTCGAAAAGATAGCAGGTTAACTGTTCAACAACTTTTATTAATGCATTAATAAAATTATTAAGTAAATGAAAATATCCACGTGCACAAGGAAGCACGTCTGTAATATTAAGTAAATTTACTACCAGGCTACTGATCAACCTGAATTAGCTAACATGCAACTCATACGCCGGGATGAAAGAAACCTGAAGCAGAATTAAAACCTGCGTTTATATTTTTGTCGACGAACGGTACATAATCCCCTCAATATATAACCCACAACTTACATTAAAAATCAAGTTATCGACAGTAAGAACAAGTCATTCTAACCTTCTAACTGTGACATTTAGCAACGAAGCAAATTTACTGCTCAGCGACATCGGCCAACATTTAATCTAAATAAAGGTTATATTAGGTTATACAAGGTATATAGGTTATATTAGGGGTTAATTATCTACTAAAAATTATTGTAAAATATCACATACTTATTTTACGGTACGCGTTTCCGAAGAGATAAACTTAAAATTTACCAAAACAACTCATGCTAACTAAGAGCGACTACAAAGTTCCCGCCATGTTCCGTATTCGGTCAAACTCGGGCAGAAAATCGGACTGACTCGGAACAAAAGATCGGACCAACTCGGACCAAAATCGTAAAGACTCGGGCTGAAAATCGGAAAGGCTCGGAATAAAGATCGGACAGACATGAATGAGGATTGGACACAATCGGAGGCCGCTAATCGGAAACACATTGTCTGGAGGTTTATAAAGACACTTATAAAGAAATTCACAGTGCAAATTAAAGCTTAAGCATTGATTACAACATGAAGGTATGAAATATCACATAACATACATATAACTACAGTTTGAAGGAAGCACTTCTATAAGAATTTCACTATAATATGTACACATACCAATAAAAAATCTGGGACCTTTTTAGAATGCGTAATTTAAAAATCAAATTCAGAATTATCTGTATTCAGAATTGGCGCCGGAGCATGCTGGGAAATTGTAACACAAACAATTTACTTGTGCTGGCCATAGTCGCTTGTGCCATTGCCTGTGTCTTGCATGAACCCTGTCCGATTCTCGTGTGTCTTTAGCCAGAGTATAAATTACCCACCGTGTTTATGCCTTACTGTCCAGCGTCCGACCTCCCTGCTTTTCCTCGTTATTTATTAATTAGATGCTTGTTTGATGCCGTTGTCAATTAAAATGCACAGTTTTTCCTTAAAGTTTTATCGTTTTTCTGTTTGCCAGGCGTTTTATTAACATTTGTTTTGGGATTATTAAAACATTATACTATTTCAAATTACTGTACTGCATTTCACATATGAATTATGAACTCTTTAATATTAATGATCTAAAACTTTAATATACTTACATGTGGTTTATAATTCGGTTATAACAAACTAGTACATAACAAACAAACAAATACTTAGCTAACACTAGTTGTAATTAATTAAACTGATTTACTAGCTAATGATAAAGATGTTACAAACCACAATATATAAACACCACCAATCCTTTAACAACCGATAGAAGACCGTGTGGAAGTCGATATTTCGACCACTAGATGGCATCAAATACACAAGAATATCATAAGGGCCTCGAAGTGGGATAACATCATCTTGCTAGTACTTCGACTTCATGAATTGGTTCACTGCGCATGGGCAGGAATTTAAGGTTAAAAAAGAAAAAGGGAAAAATCGCAGGCTTATTAACCGCAAAGCTTTTATTTTAACATGTCAATATCAGTACATAAATACACAGTTTTAACATGAGCTTGGACACACCAATCATATAGAAATACTTTTACATCAATTTTCAGTGGCAGTAGTTTTTGACTGAAAGATATAGGAAGTGACAGAGGTGACAACATAGTACTAAAAACAACAGCAAAAAAGTTCAGACCTCACGTGTTGAATGTCAAGTGTATCTTCTCTCTGCATCAATATATACAAATTACTAAGCCGAGTCAGTTAAAGACAGAGTTATAGCTGTTGTGTATTTGTCAAGCCAGTGGTAGCAACTGATAAAATATATTCAAGATACAACCACTTCTAACAGAGCACAGAAGTGAGCTGGTTTAGCAAGGGATGATATTAAGAGGGTCATCCTTTCCCACTCAAGCACAAACAGCCATTCAAGGTGGATTATCATTCTTAGTCAACAAGAAATACGAAGGAGGACAGCAGGTTTGATGCCTCATCCCTTGTTCCAAATTGTGCATTCAAGGCCTTAGACATAGTGCCCAAGTTTTTACCCTCTTAACTGACCTCTTAGATCAGTTCTTTAATTCCACAATGTTTACTGCTCCTTCATAGTTTTGTTCTATATGGTGTATCTTTAGAACCATTATTTTAGTGGTTCCTTTGTCATATCCCCCCAGCCATGTCTAACAGGGTATTAACCAGACTTGAGACAAGTTTGCAGGTCCTGTGCCCAAAATCTGCCAGTGATTATTGGAGTTAAAAGTCAAAGGTTTTTTGTAGGTCACAGCATACAAGTTGCAGCTTCCTGCTTGCATTCCAGCATGCTTACAAGGACCATTTACCATAACCATGCGGCACTGACTTGCACACGGCCATTCAGATGGAGATAAAGTACCACATTCCTCATTTATTTTTAGCTCATGACATCTCACTCCCTCTGGACTTTGAGGGGCTTTGCACCCAACAGTAAACATATTCCCATCCTGTCTCTCATCCAGCCATAAATCATCATGTCATCAGAGCTTTCCTTCCTTACAAGTTGTTACAAACAGAGGTGCACAAATCATCCAGCATTTTATGGAAAACTCCTACTCAAAACAGTCTGCATCTGCTCTCATCCATGTTCTGTGGTGCAGAGTTACTCAACAATCCAGCAGAGACGCAATGAACATACCCAGACTGATCGCCTCGCCTCCCATTCTTTGCTAATACAAAGCAAAAGCAGAGGTTTCTGAAGACAAAATAAAGCAGAGCTGAAAAGGCAGATGCTGCAGGTTCAGAAGAGCAACAATGCCTTCAGGGAAATCATTACAGCAACAGCATTCCCACTTACGTTTTAATCACCTGATGTTAAAAATGGATAATAAACATTACTGAGCATCCCATTCACTAGTAATACTGTCTGCTTTTGGTCTATCGATTTTCTCACTTCACTCCTTAAAAACTCTATCAAGCAGTTTGGTTGCTTTGCATGTTTTTAATTCATGAGAAGTAAACTTTGTGATGAAACTGCAGCCAAGTACTTTAGGATGGATAGTGATGCTTTATTGATCCCCACTGGGAAATTCTCTTTTTCACTTTGCCCCATCTCTATACAGGTGAGAGCTAGCTTGGGGGGGAGGTCACAGCAAAGGGGCAGCTACCTTGTGGCACCCACCTTGTGGCACCCTGGAAGTTGCAGGTTAAGAGCCGCGCTTAAGGGCCCACAGCCATGTTACTATTTTTCCAAGGCTGGGATCAAACCAGTGACCTTCTGGTCCCAGGTGCAGACACTTAGCCCACTGAGCCACACAGCATCCCCAGGTGCTTAACCTATTGCAGTGTCAGGCTGGAGGCATAATCCACACACACTTGCAAGAGAAACAAGGGTTACCACCGGCAGAGCACAGAGTATAATACAGGGAGTTCTTCAGTAGAACAGGGTTTGGACTGACAGCTCTGAAAATGGGGTGTGGTGGAGTGCAGATAATCAGATCCAAGACAATAAGAAAAAAATGGTCAAAATGTGCTTTCAGTAAGGAAAGCCTTGAACTGACAATTTTTTTGTGGGTCCAATTCAAGGAACATTCCACCCAATTACAGGGAGATCCTCCAGGGAAACATACTCCAGCAAAAAATGCCCTGAAAGAAGATGAGTGTTGCGCAGTCAGGCATAGGGGATGCCACTGCATGCATGTCAGCTCACACGTTTGCCTCCCTGCTGCCAAGGTGGAGTCCACGTTGAACACAAACACACAGGTATTACCACTCTGTCCATCAGGCAAATCTGTGGAAGCAAGTGAATTTAAGAGGACTGATGTACAAAAGGCAGAAGAGATCCTGTTGCCCACTGGACAAGGCACTTGCCTGCACGTTGATCATCTACCACCCTGTGTGTTCCTCTGCACTATATCCCCCCACAGGCTTAGCTTTATTCCTAGGATAAGGGAATGTTTCTGAATATCTGAGGACTTTCATGCCTGACCCTGAAGTGCCCGCTTCATAGCCAGGCATTCTCCTGCAGGAATAAGAGTGTGGCAGCTCTTGGCTGACATGCCTCTGCAGGCTTTAGCAGACCGTGTTCCTGTTTTGCACAGCCTGGGATCTACACCTCTATTTCCAACTCACCTGCCACATGAAGAAGACATGTGACTTCAGGCACAGTGTTCATTTCTACAAAAAAAAGCCGTCTGACAGTGGCACTGGTGACAGCCACTGCCAGACACTTGCGTAACAACCAGAGGTTGAGTTTTAAAGCATAACAGTCATCAGTGCTTAGAAGAAAACATCAGATATGTCAAACCATTCAAGGAGTTTGTAGCATCAGTTCTGTTCAATACAGGAAGCATATATGTATAAAAATAAAAGCTTGTGAAACATTCAAGGCCCTGAGGGTTTTATTTTCTTGTCCACTCTTATTTCTGAAATATCTGTGTTAGTCTTTCTCTTTAAAAATGTTTGATCTTCAGTCCATCTCATCCATAATTCCTGCTCTTCTCTTTCACCAACCTAAAGTTTTGAGCCTCCGAAAAATCTGGAGAAGATTCTTTTCTTCCACATATGGAAGATCGAAGGGGCTGGATCCCATTGGCTGGCGGACAGGCCGAGGGGCCAATGACATAATGGCTTTGGTGAAGGCATGCTCCTCATTGGGTCTTCTGGACCCAGTCCCAACTCTCATCGCTGTCCTTTCTGTTCTTCTCTGCCTCAATGATCTCCTTATATCGCCGACGGAAGAAACCCATCTGTAAACATACAGAAAATCTTAGTAGTGTCCTCTCCTGCAGAGCCAAGGCTGGTGAATTCAGTCAGTGATGGCTAGAATATTTACACCTCTTAAGGATATGATGGTTGAATTATTCCATTCTAGAACAGATAGTATAGTACAGTCATATGAAAAAGTTTGGGAACCCCTGAATTTTTTGGACTTTTATTAATCATTGGCTGAGCTTTCAATGTAGCGACTTACTTTTAGTAAATGTCATGCCTTATGGAAACAGTGGAAGCAGTGACATTAAGTTTATTGGATTAACAAAAACATGCAATATGCATCATAACAAAATTAGACAGGTGCATAAATTTGGGCACCCCAACAGAGATATTACATCAATACTTCAGCCTCCTTTTGCAAATATAACAGCCTCTAGACACCTCCTATAGACTTTGATGAGTGGCTGGATTCTGGATGGAGGTATGTTTGACCATTCTTCCATATAAAATCTCTCCAGTTCAGTTAAATGTGATGGCTGATGAGCATGGACAGCCTGCTTC